ATAGCCCTATCAGGCTACAACCATTGTTCGATTCTTGGTAGTAGACGCTCCATCCGCTTTCAACATTCTGTTAGGAAGGCCATCTCTTAACTCCATCAAAGCAATACCTTTCGCATATTATTTGGTGATGAAGTTCCCCACAAAGAATAGGGTCGGCATGGTCAGGGGGGACCAGCGCCAGGCCAGAGCATGCTATGTTGCGTCAATGAAACAAAGGGAGGTGGAATCGGTCCAGCTACAGGACCTAGACATGAGAGACGAATTAGACACCAGACCTACCCCCAACGGAGCAGTTGGAGCCCGTACAGTTGGACGAAGATCCGGGGCACGTGGTTTTCATAGGTTCAATGTTGCTCCCGCCCATCAAGGAGAAGCTCATCTCATTCCTAAAGGAACACGTTGATACTTTCGCCTGGAAACAAGAGGATATAAAGGGGATAGACCCCGCAGTGATCGTACACCGGTTGAGTGTTGATCCAAGCTACAAATCTATCAGACAGAAAAGAAGAAGCTTCGTGCTAGAAAGGCAAAAAGTAATTAACGAGGAGGTGGCCAAACTGCTACAGGCCAAATCCATCAAGGAAGTTGATTACCCAACTTGGATGGCCAATTTTGTGTTCATAAGAAAGGTGAACGGAAAATGGCGACTCTGTATCGACTTTATCGACCTGAACCGGGCGTGCCCCAAGGACAGTTTTCCCTTACCTCAAATAGATCTGATCGTCAACGCCACCACTAGCCATGAGCTCCTCAGCTTCATGGACACCTTTTCAGGCTACAATCAAATCAGAATGGACCCCAGCGACCAAGAAAATACATCGTTCCTTACAGAACAGGTGATATATTGCTATCAAGTAATGCCTTTTGGCTTAAAGAAAACTAGAGCTACCTATCAGAGGTTAGTCAACAGAATGTTCCAGGAGAAGCTCGGCCTGACCATGGAAGTCTACATAGACGACATGCTGGTAAAATCACTTAAGACTGAATCCCATATCCACCACCTCAGGGAGTCTTTTGAGGTTATGCACCGATACAGAATGAAGTTGAACCCGACAAAATACGTCTTTGGGGTATCGGCAAGAAAGTTCCTAGGTTTTATAGTCAACAGCAGAGGTATCAAAGCGAACCCCGAAAAGGTTAAGGCCGTCCTCAAAATGAAACCCCCTACAAACACCAGAGAAACACAGCGTCTAACTGGGAGAATAGCGGCGCTCAACCATTTCGTCTCGCGGTCAAGTGATAAATGCTAACCTTTCTCCAAAGTCCTGAAGGCGGCCTTCCAGTGGGATGAGAAATACGACGAGGCCTTCCAAGCCCTTAAAGCTTACTTGGCCTCCCCATCCGTGCTAGTGAGTCCTAAAGAAGGAGAAGTCCTGACCCTCTACTTAGCCATATCAGAATTCTAGATCAGTGCTACCCTGGTAAAGGACAAAGAAAGGATCCAACAGCCAGTCTATTTCTGCAGCAAGCCCCTCTGAGGTGCTGAATAGAGGTACCCGAAGATGGAAAAACTCGTGCTAGCTCTCCTAATAGCGGCCCAAAGACTAAGGCCGTACTTCCAGGCGCACACCATCGAGGTCCCGGCGGATCAGCCAATGAGGCAGGTCCTGCGTAAATCGGAGGCCTCCGGAAGACTCGTCAAATGGGAGATGGAGCTTAGCGAATTTGACATCAAGTTCAAGCCCAGAACCGTGATCAAAGGGCAAGTCCTGGCTGACTTTCTGGCCGAGTTTACTGCACCGCCTGAAGAGAGTATTGAAGACCGTGACGATTTCCCCGACATACCGACTTGGAAGCTGTATGTAGATGGGGCCTCAAATGCCCAAGGATGTGGAGCAGACCTCATCCTTACTTCCCTAGAAGGTTACGACCAAGAGTACGTCCTGAGATTTAATTTTCAGGCATCCACCAACGAGACAAAATATGAAGCACTCATAGCCGGCTTAAACCGGGCCTTATCAATGGAAGCACAACAGATCATGATCTACAGTGACTAGCAACTGGTGGTAAGACAAGTCGAGGAAGAGTACGTTGCCAGAGACGAGAAAATGGCGCTCTACATGACCGAAGTACGGAGGCTCCTAATTTGTATCAGCCGAGCTGGTTTAAGTTCCCCCGGAGGCCAATTGTCGGGTTGACGCCCTGGCCAAACTAGCCACTACCGGTGAGCATGGCCTGCCTGGGCAGACACTCGTCGAGACACTAACCCAGCCCAATGTACGACTCGACGTCGAGCTAAATGGAGAAATTCAGGCCCTCCCAGTTGAAGGGGACACTTCTTGAATGAACCATATTAGATCATTCTTGCTAGAAGAAGTACTACCCGGAGACCCGAAGGAAGCTACGAGGTTAAGATCCAGGGCAACAAGGTTCACGCTGGTCAGAGGTAACTTGTACAAAAGAGGTTTTTCGTTTCTACTAATGAATTGCGTGTCTGAACCTGAAACCAATTACATCCTGAGAAAAATACACGAAGGGATGTGCGAAAACCACATTGGAGCAAGGAAATTGGCAAATAAGGCACTACAACAAGGTTATTTTTAACCAATCATGTCCAAGGATGCCAAGAAAATAGTAAAGAAATGTAAAACTTGCTAGATTCACGGTAATTTGTCGCACTGCCCACCAGAGCAACTCACCCCCGTGGTCAGCCCCTGACCTTTCCAACAGTGGGGGTTAGATATCCTAGGGCCCCTGCTAACCGGGGCCGGGCAGTGCAAGTTCATCGTACTCGCAGTAGATTACTTTATAAAATGGGCTAAAGCAGAGCCTTCGGCTAAGATTACGGCGCAGAAGATCAAAAACTGTGTAGAAGTCCATCATATGTCGTTTTGGTGTCCCTAGAGCTGGGAATCAGTTCGATAATCTCACATTCACAGGCTTTTGCGAGGGACTGGGGGTCAAGAATTATTTCTCGGCTCCCGCGCACCCTCAGTCCAATGGACAAGCTGAAGTAACCATCAGAACAAAGTAACCATCAGAACGATCAAGCTGGTGTTGAAAACTAGGTTGGAAGCTTCCAAGTCACAATGGGTGGATCACTTCCTAGCAGTACTATGGGCATACCGAACAACAATGAGGACAGCAACTGACGAGACACCTTTCAGCCTAGCGTACGGGACAGAAGCAATGGCGCTAGTCGAAGTCGACGTGCCTTCAGCGAGGGCCAAACTCTTTGACCCCGAGCAAAATGAAAGATCCTTACTAATAAACCTCGACCTCCTTGACGAAAAGAGGGACAAAGCACTACAACAGATATTCTTCTACCTGAGGAACATGGCCAGATTTTACAATAAACGGGTAAGAAGAAGAAGCTTCAAACCGAGTGACTTGGTGCTGAAAAAGCTTTTCCCGGCCAGGAAAGACCCTTCCCATGGCAACCTCGACCTCAACTGGGAAGGACCCAACATCATAAAGAGGATAATTCGACCTGGAAACTACGAGCTGCAGACAAAAGAGGGGCGTGACCTGCAGCACTTGTAGAACGCAGATCATCTGAAGCTCTATTACCAATAATTTCAGGAGAACCTTTTATAATAGAGAAGAAGAATTATTATAAAATCTTTCCTTTGGAAATCAACAAAAGTTTTAAAATCTTCATAAAGGGAGAAAGTCCGCGATAAGCTATGGCCAGCACGCGGCCCGATCAGGCTTTTCAGCCTAAGAGAGCTCATAAATTTGAAGCGACTAGGCTTTTCAGCCTAAGTGTTTTAGAGCTCGTAAGCTCAAAAAAGGTAGGCTTTTCAACCTAAGAGAGCTCGTAAGTTCTGAGTGACTAGGCTTTTCAACTTAAGTATTTAAGAGCTCGTAAGCTAGAAAAAGGCAGACTTTTTAGCCTAAGAGAGCTTGTAAGCTCAGAGTAACTAGGCTTTTCAACCTTAGTGTTGAAGAGCTAGTAAGCTCAAAAAAGGCAGGTTGTTCAGCCTAAGAGAGCTTGTAAGCTCAGAAAAGGCAGGCTTTTTAGCCTAAGAGAGCTCGTAAGCTCGAAATGACCAGACTTTTCAGCCTAAGTGTTTAAGAGCTCATAAGCTCGAAAAAGGCAGGCTTTTCAACCTAAGAGAGCTCGTAAGCTCGGAGCGATTAGACTTTTTAGCCTAAGAGAGCTCGTAAACTCAAAAAAGGCAGGTTTTTCAGCCTAAGAGAGCTTGTAAGCTCGAAAAAGGCAGGCTTTTCAGCCTAAGAGTTTGAAAGCTTAAGAGCTCACAAGCTCGAATTCTATGAGGCTTTTTCAGCCTAAGAGCTCGTAAGTTTAAGAGCTCGCAAACTCGGATTCTACAAGGCATTTCAACCCAAGGCCTTTTATCCTAAAAGGCGTGTTTTTTAGCATAGCATTTTGGAGCTCAAAAAAGCCAGACTTTCCATCATAAGAAAGCTCACAAACTCAGATCAGCCAGATTGACCAATATAAGGGCCCGAAAGCACAAAGCCTATAAGTCCAAGTCCAAGTCCAAGTCCAAAATAGGGAACGGGCACAAGGCACAAAGATACAAGATCAATAGCAAAAGACTCGATTTCATTAATGGCGGAAAGTTCATGATCTAAACAAGCCAGCACTCCAACCAATACACCAAAAAAAAAAAACTGGCAGGATCATAGAAGCAGCAACAACTGGAACATAGAAGCAGCACCGTTAAAGACCTCTTCCCCTCTTCGGGTCCTCCCTCGCAACCCCCTTCAACTTGCGATCTCCCCTCTCCAGTAGGGCATTCACCTCCTTCAGATGAGCAAGGTCCTCCTTCAAAACATCTCTCTCGTTCTCCACCTCCATTAACCTCTTCTTCAGCACCTATACTTCAGCCTCTGTTTCACGAGACAGGGAAGGTGCGACCTGAATCCTAGTCGAGCTTCCCCCTATCCCATAACGGACGAGGTTCTGAAGGGTAACCAGGGTAGAATAAGAAAAGGGAGAAGCATTCTTGACCATGCGAACATTGAACGCTTTTGACGGAGTTAAGCCTGGGATACCTGCACAACACGATTACAACAAAGACAGGGGTCAGCATAGCACCTACCATTGAAGTTTGGCTAGTCAGAAATCAACAGGAAAAGTTTACCTCTCCCCCGAAAGCTTCCCTAAGAGCGAGGGATCCAGACAGCACAGTCTCTACCCACAGCAGGCTCTGAGGAGTCCTCGGAGACAAAGAAGAAGAGTTGGGTCCATCCCTCAGGGGAAGAAGGAATGTTAGCAACAAGCGGTGGATGAAAATACCACTTAAAAGAGAGGGAGCTGAAGAAAGGAGGAAAATCGAAGGACAGGTCAAGGAAATAGACGAGCTCAGAAATAGTTGGGAAGGTCTCAAAGCCTTGCATACACCAGAAAATGAAGAAGCTAACTAAGGCAACCCACCCCTCAGGAGAAAGCCTAAAGGGGCACATGCCGTAATGTGAAAGAACCCGAACGAGAGGGGCAATCGGAGTCCACTCTCAAATGCCCCCTCAAAGAAGGCAACTTCACCAAGGGATGGCATACTGCAAGGTTCATCAAGGGTGGGAACTCTAACCCCTAGATCCACAGGGAGATTGAACCGACTCTTTATGCCATCAACATCCGTTGCAATAAGTGTAGACAGAAAAAGGAAAATGGAGTACCACTCGCCCTTCAGAGACTCTTGGGTGCGATATTTGAAAAGCGGGGAGGGAGCCATTAATCCAAAGGTTTGAGAAGATAAGCACCGAAGGAAGTCAAATAATCGGAGAAAAAAGATCTTTGTGAGGCAGTGGGAGTGCTATAGCTTGAAGTACTTGGGAATATATAGCCCTGGAGAATGACTGTTAGAGTCCCCGCAAACAAAACAACAATAAATAAGGGTGCAGGATTCAGAGAGGTGGTTAAACCACCTAAGAGCTAACTTAAATGAACAGCCGCTTCGCACGTTGCCAGAAGGAAAAAGAACACGAACAGTCACCAACACCATTTCCTAAAAATCACGCAGGTGCGCCTACCTAAACGAACAACCAACCTAGAAAATAGCATTATTCCAAACAGGGCAAGGCCTCCTTGGAACCAACAAATACATCACACCAGTAAATACATCAAACACAAAAAAAAAAAAGAGAGAGAGAAAGTGGCAGATTCCATTACCAAAAGAAGTGTTTACAGATATTTCAAGAACAGGGACAGATCTTTAAGACTGCTCGGAGGGAGGAGCCGAAGGAGCAGCGTCAGAGGCACCACCACCCGGGGGAACGTCAAACTGCGGCTGAAATTGCTCAAGATTCAAGTTACGAAACTCCTCAATTGCCTGGTCGACAAAATTAAAAAACCCATCTACAAAGGGCCCTGGCCGCCTTCAATCAGGACTTCTTGAGCTCTTTTCGATGACTCTCGACCAGCTGACGTTCAAATGCGAAAGAGTTGCTCAGCTCGGCATTTGTAGGCTGCGATTCCTTCAGTTGGTCCTCCAGTAAAGACCGAGCGATAGCGGAACTGAGCAGGTCCTCGGTCCGGGCATCATTATCTTTCTTAGAACGAGCCAATTCTTCTCAAATAGACACCTCGGTAGAAGTACTGGCAATCAATTGCTTAAAGATCTAAGCTTGTTGATTGAGAGCCCGCTCCAACTCCTTCTCGGTGGCCAGGCCTCAATTCAGGAGCTCAAAATTCTGTTGACATACCTCCCGAAGCTCATTTCTCAAGGTGTAAATTTCTGTCCCAAGTGCGCAGACATGCGTTGCCGACTGAGAACAAAGGGAAAAGTCATAACATTACAGAAATAAAGGCAAGGAGCAGCACAAAGGAGGGTAGAATTACCTCAAGAAGGGCGTGAAGAGCTTCCCAGCTACAGGTCCGGAAAGGAAGATCCACAGAATGCCTCAAGTCAGCTTGAGGGATCAATCCCATTAGCGCACGACTGCTCAGACTCACATTCCTCAGCAGACTGCCCTCGGGATCGATCGTCAGAATAGGCAAAATACGCACCGAGCTAGAACTAGCAATTCCAGCAGAGTTGGAACCTCGCCGAACCGGTCCTGTTACCGCACTGACCACAACTCGGCCCACCATCGCGACAGATCCCGGCTCAGGTATCACCGCCTCTATGGCAACAGATAGGGGCTCGGAAGTTGGTAGCGAAGTTGTGACTTTGCCACCAACGCCTAGAGCCGGATCCATATCATTTCCCCCTTGCCTGGCTCTCTTTGAGGGAGGCTCGAAACTCTTGGCTCGCCTCCTTTGACCCACTTGCTCCATGATTGCCCCCCGTTATGTAACCAAGTACGAAGGAACTACACAAACAAACCAGAGAAAGAAATGAGGGCCCCAGCAAATTGTGAACTGGAACAAGAGGTCAGATACTCACGGCTACTCGATGACAAGGCTAGGATTGGACACATCAGCTCCGTAAAAGAAAATGGAGGGTGAGCCTGGGCATATCCAACCCTTGTTAGCTCTTCACCAGACAGAGGTGGCAGCTCGTCTACAGCAACATAGACAAACATAGTCGTCACCACCCATAGAAGATATAATAATATGGGTTTACCTGGATTCCTTCATGTTAACAAATGCACCAGAAGAAAACCGACAGATATGGGCTTACCCAGATTCCTGCGTTGCCTCACTCAGTAGGGACCCTGGCTGACGCAGAAAAATGGGCCCCGTATTCCCAACCAACTCCAGAAATGAAGAAATACCTCCTCCTCCACCCTTCAGGCTTCGAAGGAAGATCCGAGATAAGAACTTCTCCTCCTCTCCTGGGGATGAAGTGATAAAACTTAGACACAACATCAAGTCCGAAAAAGTGAAGGAACTCCAGCACAGTAGCCCTAGATTGGGGAAACGACCTCCCCCACATAGCCGCAAAACCCAACAAGACTGCCCAGGCCGCAGGAAAGAGCATGGCAGGATAGAAACCGAAGAAGTACAGAACCTCTCTAATAAACGAGGGAAGGGAAAATCGTAACCAACAGGCCTCATCCTAGACCAAGCAGTGAAATTGGCGCATATTAGCATGACGCACAATCATAGCAGGTGGAATGTCAAAACGCCTAGCAAGAAAATGAGCCTCTTCCTCTCCGATCTCACTAATCTCAACATCAGGAAAAAAACGTTCCATAACATCGCGAGGGGAGAAAGGGGCCCTGGCCATGAAAACATAAGGAAAACGTTTTCCCATGAAAGCACCGAATAAGAAGAAGTGTAACAACAATGGAAAAAACAAAAAGTTTTGGTGCCTAAGGCAAGACAATCATTCTCCGGAAGCGCCCGTTTATAACCTCAGCTGACGTGCATCCATCATCTCTGCCAAGCGCAATTAATGCGCATCGCTCGCATTTAAGAAAGGAACACGTGGCGTCATGGGGGTCACAGAAGCATCACGATTGATGAGCCACTCGAAAATGACTCGGGAACCATAGTTAGGGGGCCTCAAAGTCAACAAACAACATTATCATTTTCACCTGACCGAGCCAAAGATGAACATGTCATTCACAGGGAAGGAGAAACCAACAACATCCCTATTGAAAAAATCATGCTAAGATTTAATCTGAAAGTTACATTGACATTTAGAAGAAAATAAAGTGCTACAAAGGTTTTTAGCGAATCACAGAAAAAAAAAAGAAAGAAAAGGAAAGCAGCGATTGCGGGTCCACTTCAGGAAGCTGTCTCGTCTCCACCACTGGCTCCTTCGTTAGTTGTTTCAGCTGGAACATTAGGCTCCTCGGACTCGGTAACCTTGGAAACGAAAACCCCCTTAGCACCTGGCGACTCAACCTCTTCAGTTACCATGGTCCCCTTCTTGTACTCAAAGTTGTAGCGCAAAGGAATGCAAGTCAAGGTCCAGGTGAGCATCCTCGATCTGGTCCCTATAGTTCAGGAACCCTTTTATAAAGGCAGAGGCGCCCTCTCTCAACAGCTCGGACACTCGAGCTCGTAAAGACGACAGCTCGGACTCCTTAACCTTCAGGTCAACATCTTTAGCTTTGATTTCATTCTCCTTGGCCACAAGGTCTGCATCTTTAGCCTTGAGCTTGGCCTCCAAGCCCCCTATCTACGACTCTTTGAGCATAATATGGTCTTGATGGCGGGAGTCTAGCTCATCGTTGATCCTCTTTAGCTCCGCGACCTTGGAAACCAGAACCTTAAGCTTCCTCTCGGCAGTGTCCTTGCTAACTGTCATGTCGTCGAGAGCATCCTTGGCCTTTTGGAGATCCTGCTCATGGTGAAAATCCAGCATCTTCATGCAGGCGAGCGACTATGAAAGATAAAGGAAATTGGTCAACACAGGAAATAGGAAAGGGATTCGAGAACAACTAAGAGCATAGATGAAGCGAGAAGGTACCTCGGCCAGGCCTTGGATGGTGTGCTGGATTTTTCCTTTTAAAAGGAATCTCCATAGCCGACTGAGGATCTGACATGGAGATCAGTTCAGATAGGGCAGCCACCGCGGCCTCAGGATCGCGAAGAAAGCCACCCCCATACACTTTAGACTTGGAAGGGGTGAACTTCCCCTTTCCACCCTTTGCAGAAGCAGCTTTAGATGAGGAAGGGTGGGGAGCCGAAAGGCCGAGCTTGTCCGCTGAAGCCCCCTCGGAACGAGTTTCACCCTTGAAAAGTTCAGAAGGAGGCAAGGGCACGGCAGCATCCCCTCGGGAAGGAAGGTCCTCACATTTTTGTTTTGAGAAAGTGGGTATGGGCCCAGAGACCGATGCCTCCTTAGATGGCAGCTGAGATTCCTTCACCAATTTCCTCCTCTTTCTCAATTGCTCGGTATCCGAGAATAGTGCCATGATTAGATCCTGGTCCATGTTATCCGACTGGAGGGCAGAAGACGGTACAATCTCTGGAACTCGGATAACGGTCGGTCCTAGCCTGTATTTAGCAAGGTTTTCGTCGATCACCAAGTTGAAGAAAGACCTCAACCTAAAGGCCTCTATTCTAGCAACTCGGACCGGTTCCTCCATGCCAAGTGCCGGGCAAAATTCTGCAAACCAGATCAAAAGTTAAAAACAAAAAAAAAGAGGGGGGTAAAGCAACAAAGAGAAACGCGGCCAGTAGGTTAGCCTTACGAGTATTCCTTGGAACCCCCCAAGATCTGGGGACACGAGGAGCGTCGCTAGGCTCCCCTAACAGCTCCTAGGAATCGCCCCTAGTAAAAAAGAACCTTGGCTTCCATCCCTTATTGGAAGAAGGAAGCCTAGAGATCAGAGTCTTTGCCCTTACCCTTTTGGCAAAATACAAGAAATCCAAGGAGGGAGAGGACTTCAGCTGAAAAAGGGAAGTAAATTCTCGAATAGAGGGAAAAAAGGGGTTCCCACTCTTGAACCAATGGACAAGGAAACTAGCTAGGAACCCCCAACCATTAGGAGACAGGTGGGATGGGCAGACATTATAGACCAGCCCAGAATGCGGACTCGAAGAAACAAGTGAGTCCAGGGAGAGCAGAGTTGCACCTTTCGTGCTTCTCAGGGAATGAAATTCCACAAA